ATATAGGCAGCTGCTTACCTAGAGCTCTCCTATAATTGAATTGAAGCATCTGAAGCGCCTTTAAGGTGCTACAGAGTGATTTAAAGAAGAGTACAAAGTTAAACTCTATTATTAAATAAAAAAGTATTTGAAAGTGATAAAGACTAATACTTTTTTAGTATCCTATTTTGTTTTTATCATTCTACTCTTAGCCAGTGAGCCCCTTAAAAACACTGAAAGGTTATATTTCATTTTGCTTTACAAGGTTTTTTTTCAAAAAAGATACTTTCACTTCTGAGTTCCACTTCTAAGCCAAAATTCTTGCATACAAGTCTACTGGATTTGAATGTTGGTGTATGTGTGTCTGTATTATTGCCTTTATTTAAAACTTAAACTCTACTGAATGATTTATGAACCCGTAATCAGTAGATTTGTCTACACATTTTCAAATAGCTAAATAAAATAGACCATTTCCTTCTTTGTAGTCTGCTTCTGAAAAATCAACTAAAGTTATATAATTATCAATTTTCATAAATACTATTGCATGCATTGGTTTTGATTTAGAAAAACTTCACAACTTAACTATGTAAAGAGGTAATTTTATTTTGAACTACAATATTGCAGATTTTCATTACTTTATCCTAAAAGCAAATATATATGTCTCAAATATAAAACTTTGATAATATATCCCCTTGGTGAACCAATTTTATAGCAACATTTTTAAAAAGAGAACAGTCCTACTTGCTGCTTTAAAACAACACATTTCCCTCAGATCAAAAGACAATCAACGGTTTTATTTCAGGGAGAAAAACTTGTTTGAGCCTATGGCAGGTGAAATATGCATTAGATATTTGACTTAGCACTGTGAAAGAGCTATCAATATACTAACACGGAGATTCTTTCTTGATCTTCCTTTGCTAATGATCTTATTAGTTAATGATATAATGGACATTTTAATTGGATACCTGAAATATGTAGTAACAAATAAAAAACAGGAGGAATATAGAAACAAGGGAATATAGAAAAGAATGTCTCTTGTTAATACTATATTATATTAGGTTAAAAATAAAGATTATTTTCTAAGCAATACTATAGTTTACATTACAAAAGAAAGGTTAATTTTTAAAATAAATCATAGTATGTATGGTGGGAAACAGTGCAATAAAGCAGACTGAGAACTCAAAACATTCAAATGTCAGAGTCTGCTCCTTACAATTTTCATATATTGCATGAAGTGTATGAAATGGCTTGGATTAAGACCACAAATGCTGTACAGACAATTTCTTCATTTTAAATCATTTCAGACTCCTTGACGAAAGTCTGATATGGTGCTGCTAACCATACTTCTGACAAGAAACATTTTACTTTCAAAACATGTATGTAATATATTTAATTTTACTTTCAAAACATTTATCTAATATATTTAATTTTCAAGTTAACTATTCTTGAAACTTTTTTTGTTATGACCCGTGTTCCACTAATACTTTGCTATTTTTCCGCACAATCGGATTGTACCTAGCAATCTTCATGCTATGCTACACAAAATACAAACCAAATCAAAAGTTGTATGAGAAACTATTCCATTAATATCTCAGACAAGATTATCTTTGTAAAACATACCATGTAGCTAATATTCTAGTATTTAGGTAACGGAGCTTCATTTGAAAAAAAAAATGTTTCAGCCAACACCCTCCCCTCCTATCCATAAACCACTGTACTTAAGTGTGACTGAAGTTGGGGACATACAGGTCAGTAAACATATTACTAGACCACAGTCAACTGCATGAAGAACAAGAAAATAACAATAAAACTGCACATACAACACATTTGCTAATCATAAAGAAATGCACTGGTAAAAAAAATCATCATTTCTGTCATAAATTTTGTAGCGCAGTCACAGAATGGAGAACAATCTGGGCAATTTATTGGCATATTGGCAGGAGGTGATAAGGCTAAAAACAACAACAGCTAGCAGCTGGTGCAGTGAGATGGGCTGATAACATTGATATGGGGCTCCCATACAAAACACCTCCTATCGTATCAGTGCTTTTTATCAAACTAGTATTACAATAATAGGTTATAAGGGGGGGGGTTAGGTGAGGGAAGAAAAATATAGGCCTGGAAAGAAAAAAAATCTGAATTTTTGGGACAAAACATGGGGGCAAAATACATAATTTATCACAGTATTATCAGGAAACCCAGGCAGTCTAATCAAGGAGCACTGAGTGACTATTTTTTGCCTTATCATCCAAAGTGGTGGAAACGGAGAAGGAATTATCAGGCTTCTGCAGATTGCTGGGCTGGAATTTTAATGGTAATAATCGGGTTTCTGATGGTATATCTTCTCCGCTTATCTTTCCCATTATCTCCCCTTATCTGGCCAGTCATCAGAGCAAATTAATGGTGCTCTTTCAGCGTCGCCTTTTTATCGCTGCCCAGAGAGCACCCAAGGGGAAAGAATAAGCAAAATATTAAAATACTGCATAAATCACAATTTTAGATAGCAGGGAACTGTATGCAGTAAAAGAAAAAAAATTGTGCCCAACAACCTTTTTGTCCTTTAAATTGACTGTCTTCAGAGTTTCTAGTCTAAGCTGACTTTTTGCTTGTCATAGAGCTTTTAAACTGTGCATGCTTTATCAGCAAAATGTAGAGGTTTATTGCAAATTGAAGAGTTTTCAAACTTAAAAAAAGTGAAGATACAGTCCTATCACTAGTAATTTTATTATGTTTACTGAAAATTCTTATGGTCAGCATTTTCAACTCCGATTTTTGTGTCCCGATATCAACAGAAAAAAACTTAGCTTCAAATTATTATTTATGTCTAAAATACTATATTGCTTGGTTTAAATAATAAAAATCTCAAAAACACATTTGAATAAAGGCTGCTTCTTATTGGAATAAACTTCTCAAAGTCTGAGAAAATGCCACCTATGGTTGATCAAATACTAATAGAAAACTCTGTACAGGACACTGATTGGTTTGAGCAAAAATTACATAAACCTAGCCAAAAACACACAATCCAAAAAGCCATCAGCTGGAACTGCTATGAACATAGTAAGTTCTCCAACTCTGATGACCTTGTTTCACTTCTCCTTACAATGTACATTTATAAACAGCCTAATTGGCATGATGACTCACATGGAAAAATAAAGTTATTAAAAATCAGACTACACACACAAATGTACAATCCAATCTACACATTTCCACATGTATGTTAAATGTGTATGCCTATATTTATTCTCATGAATTTACATGTACTCATGTACATGCAAACCATTACACGTCACTTATGAAAAAAAACCAAAAGCTTTTGGGTTAACATTTATGCCATATAGGGAAGCCATAAACATGCTTTGTGACCTATGGCAGAAATACATAATCCTCAATTTGCATCTGAGCATTTCTCTGACATTATGAAGTGGACACTACAAAAAACACATAGTTAATTGAGAAGATAAAGTATGCAAAGATAGACTCAGACAGTCTTTGTGCCATACAATTAATTTTATTATAATTTATTAACAATCAAGACACCAGTCATGTACTAGAAAGCCTTCCCAACTAATAACTTTCATAATCATATCTCACATTATCTACAGCTTTAAAATATTAACCATACTACTTAAATACTTTAATAGATTAATGCAAACTAAATAATAAATGAATAGGTTTAAAAGGAAAACACCATGTTTACTTACGTATATCAAAACCCACAGTAATTAAAACAGTTCCTTTAAAAATGAAGGATTTAAAAGGCTTTACACAAAACAGGAAAGTTTTAATCATGTATTATTATATACTAAATAAACACAGAACACAATCGGAAATATGCTGTTTTATTTTCCAAATTAAAAAACAGTTGTAAGTAGGTATGCACTACCAACACAATACAAATGTTTGACAGTGACCAATCTTTTTCAAGCTGCAGCTCATTCTGTTTGCTAAATCACTTCATCAGCTCAAAAATCCACTAGAACTGAGCTATTCATAAGTATTTTGGAGTTAGAAATCAATGAGGAAAATATTAAAAGATTCTCTCTAAGTCACATGACGGTTAGTTTAAAGTAATTCTAGGATACAGGCGTCAATGAAGTTGTATCAGCTCAGTGGTGCTGATTTAAAATCAAAATGGTTTATGATGTCTGTTTTGAAACGCTTACAACTTCTTTGAGTACTGACCGGCAGGATTGTTTCGTTCGGTTGAACAATCTGAAGCACGGAGAAGTTTATGAAGTTGGGATTATAGCACATGTCACTGACGTGCGTCTCAGACACAAAAAGTGAACTATGGATACTAATAGTAGCATACTATTACGAAGATTTTTGTCTACGACCCACCTATACACCTGGTTACTAACCAAAGCAAAAACATTTTCCTTTCAAAAGTGTTGCTTTTCCGAAAACAACAAAGATGACTATCTGCAACTGGTTTAGAAGCAAACCAAATCCTACAGGGAGGTGCAAAGTTTTGCATAATGCAAACCTAAGCGAAGGGACGAAGAGAACCGAAAATGACTAAATCAGCATTGCCCACAGAAGGTTATTGAGTTGTGCAGCTCGGAGGAGCCTTTTCCTAGTGCTCCCTTTGCTGGAACTTTTCTTGCACGCACTTTTCGTTTCTTTGCCATGCGCTGGTATTTTTGCAGCCTAAGCCTGACATAGATCCCCCCTCAGCTGTCCTTGATCCCTCGTATGTTTCTGTGAAGACGAGTTCACCCTGGTCTCCTAAGTCAGTCCAACTTTACAATACGAAAGTGATTTGCTTTGCACGCTGAATGCGAGAGTTTTAAGGCAGTGCGTGAGGCAGTCACACAGCTCCCAAGGAGTAGGCAATTCAGTACGGAGGAAGCTACTCGGGCTGCATCAAAGGAGCTTTTATTTCATCCCTGCCCTTTTCTGTCTTTGGCAAAGTTTAACCCTTTAGCCCATACTCGGGACCCTCCGCGCCCCAGTCTCTCCGCTCCCTAGAAGGACATAAATAAAAGTCTGGCGGAGGGAGCCCCCCTCAGGAAACTTACGTTTGATCTGCCTGGGTTTGCTCTGTTTCCTGCGGGACATGCTGCCGCTGCTCCTGCCTGGCTCCAGGTGCGGAAGGAGAGGGGCGCGGGCCGGGGTGACAATCAGTCGGCGGGGCTCATGAAGGAGCCGCTGGACGCCTCGCGAGGCACAGTCAAATGAGAGGGGGAGAGGGCGAGCGAGTGACAGGGAACGAGGGGCAGAGAGAGCTCGGGCGAGTGAGAGCGGCAGCGAGGAGGAGGAGGAGGAGGG